CTCCAAAACAAAATGTGCGAGCAGAGGTAGAAACCAGTTGTGATGAAAGACAACGGAGCAATAACAAATAAGACGTCTACATTAAAATAAGTTGTAAGGCGAAGCAAAGTGCAGGCTACCATCAAACTAGGGCAAGTGTACTAGGACAAAAGTCTTGAAAAACTGCTTCTTCTTCGATTTTAATGGCGGATCGCAAACCAACTTGTAAAGGAGCATACTGCCACCTACTATAAGGTGTGACTAACGTATGCGTACCATCAAGGTTTTACATACTGTTAAATAACAAAACAAAACAAATCCCACCAGCAAATTAATCCTATCACGTAAAATACTCCGCTCTACATTTAATTCACTTCATAATGACATGCTCGACCTCTTTAGGAGCATCACAAACATCACGTTTATCTGAAATGCACTTTGATATTAAGTAAAGAGTTGATTTTAATCCAGTGTATGTCCTGGTTTTAATCTTAATTAATCTTGACCAAACCACTCCCTCTCTTCTACACTTCTCTTTAAAAACCTTAATTGATTTCTATAGGCTATGCTGTAATATAGTGTCAACTGTCATTATTTCATCATCATTTACTTTCAGTGATCACTTCGCAATCTCATCTGCTTTCTCGTTACCCTCCACACCAACATGAGCATTAACCCAACAAAACTGTACATCAATTCCACCTCTTTGTTTTCTCACTTTTATCGTATTAGTTTAAAATTTTAACAACTTCCTTTGATTTTCAGGTCCCTTTATAATTTCTAAAGCTACATGGTTTAGCTCCGACATATTTATGTATCACAATGAAGAGATGAGACAAAACTCTTTGGACTGTGAATAATGAAGAACTGGCAATTCTGAGACTTAACCTTTTGGAACAACTCATAATTTTACTTCAGAACACTGCAAGTTGCAATGTATCTGTTTTTTAAACTTGAACTTTGAATCATGCAGTCTTGCTGTACATGAAGTGTTTCAATTTGTTAATTTTTCAAGTATAGGTCAAACAAGTCTGCACGTCTCCTGAACCTTCTGAAAAGACTCACTATTACTACCATGTTTGAATTGAATGTAGTTCGTTTGAGGAATGAAAACATAAAACTAAAAATGAACACTATTGTATTTGGTGACATGTTTTACTTATATTTCTGAACACTCATGTTTACAGGGTCATATATGTCTTTATGTTACTTCAAAAAACAAACAACAACATTTAATATAAGTTTATAAAAAAAACAATAAAAAGGTCCCAAAAAAAGCATAGCAAAGTGTACAAAGCAAGTACAGGTATGGACAATAGCCTGACTGGTTTCATTTGTAGTTTTATCTTAAGGACAAGCAAGTTTTCATAGTTTGTGTAACGTATATTCAATATAATTTCTATAAATTCTATACTTTTCTCAACATTATTATTTTGCTTATAAATATGTATACATACTCTTCTTCAACTGTACAAAATGTGGCTGTTTAGCTCTTGATACATTTATTGTTAAAACAATTCCCATGAACACAGTTGCATTGAATTTCATCACTCTATACATTGTTTCCTGGAAAATAAAATAATGAGTTTATGAAAATTATAAATGTTCTAAATGTGAACTGCAGGTTGTGAATTTATCTCTTTACAAACTGTTCTTGCTCTTGGTAATGAGGCCAATACTAGTCCAATGTTTCAGAAATGTTTCTGACATATAGCCATATGAGACAGGATCATTGTTCAAAGAAAAACTACTCTTTCACCATTATGTTGCAAGCAACAGGGCCTCTGAACGTAAACCCCAGGTAGAATGTAATGTTTTCATTACTATGAGGCACTGAAGGTACATGAAGAGGAAGGATATTGAACTTCTTTTTCCGAGGGCCCTCAAGGTACACCACTCCATCTTCAGTCCATCCAGACACGCGTTTCAGCATCTCAGCAATCTCAGGCTTTTTCCATGCCTCACCCTTAAACCACTTCATGCGTTTCTCAGAGACTGAGAACACCTTTGTGACTCTTTCAAACCTTCTCTTGTGGACAAATTTATCCAATCCACTCCCATTGCCCAGAAAGAAATGTGTGTAAAGCCTCCTCTTTCGCTGAGGAATCTCCTTCATCTTGGTCCAGTAGTCTTTTTCCAGGTGTTCAACTGCCGATTGCACAATCTCGTATTTGGTTTCTTTCTCAAGGACTGTGTCATGATCCTCTGGCCAGAATAGCAAGGTAAGCAAGAAGAGGGCACTTGGTAGACACTTCCTTTTATCAGTTGGGAACTGATGACAAAGTGCCTGTAGATCTTTCAGAGGGGCTACCTTTTGAGTCTCTGGTGACAGGCAGTTCAGAGAAATGTGGGTCACTATGTAATTGACAATATCCCTTTGGCCAAATTTGGCCTTTATTGGATTGCTGGGGTACAGAGAAAGGATGCTCTGTAGAAGCAATACTGCATTCCTCTGGTCAGTTAGCTTGGAGAGGATGGATGTTATGCTCCCCCCACCAAGATGATAAATGATCATGCGTTTTTGGAAAGGAGTTAGATTGGCTGGGATTGGTTGCCCCTGTTTTAGAAGTGCAGCAGAACAAGATTCACTGAAGTATTTCCCATACTCTGAAGATCTTTTTGCCAACCACGTCAGTGGATGGCTTCTCTTATCCTCAGGACTTTCAGGGGTCTCTTCTTCATCTGTACTGATGTCTGTCTGAAAGTAACTGAGGTCTTCTGAAATCCATTCCAAGGCATCTTGCATTGTCTTGTTAAGGTTTTTCAAACGGCCATGAAATGGTTCCCAGGCATCTTCAACTTCCTTTGGAATGTAATCTGTTAAGAGGTACTTCATACACTCTGAATGACTATTGGCTCTGTTTGCAAACACGTCCAAGGAAGAGATCAGTTTGAGCAGGCTGCATCCAACCTCAACCTCAGCAAAATACCCTGAACTGTTCAAGTTTTCCATATCTGCGTCAGCTGCTTTCTCACACTCTCGAAAACAATCAATGGCTTTTAGTGCAGTCTCCACAGCATCTGCTGTATTTTGGGCTGTCTTTGGTACATTGCCATTGTCAATAGCTTTGCATTTAGCTTGGAACCATTTTCTGTACACCTGACCTTTTGTGTCGAGTATGTATGAGTTGTTGGGTTGCTGTTTGGCTGCAGTCTCTGCCCAGTATTTTGCTTCTTCAAACTTTTCATAAGTATAATGAAGACGAGCAAGTTGTTGTGCGAAGAATGGGTCTTTATGGAAACACTGGAATGCTTCCTTGAGCAACTCAATTGCTTTGTCTGGGCTTTTCTCATTTTCACACACATGCTCAATCAGAGGAGAGAAAAAACTATCATATTCGTCTCCTTTGCTTATTCTGGATCGCCTTATGAAAAGTGCTCTCAAAAATGACAGATATTCGTCCCTTCCAAATCTGTGCTCAAAAAGCACATTGTTGCAGAGCAAATCCATTGCCAAATTGCTTTGGGTCTGTTGGTTCCCCAAAAGTTGTTGGAGAATTTCTTTTGCAACGAGCGGGTGGATGATTCTGATTGATTCAATGTACGTCTTGTCATCTCTAAGGTGCAAGAAGACTAATTTAGCCTGATCACTGAGTGATTTCTCAAATGCATGCTGGCGAAACCTTTCCAAGTGAAAGGTT